CTAGCCGCATAGACAGCGGCCGCAGTCGAATGGCCATGCACATTGACGTTTCCCATGGGCACCTGGGCAACATTGACATTAACGTCATCGTGGCCAAACGTAAGGCCGTGCGCAAGGGCTGCGGCGTTGCTCTCGAAACTAGGGCCGGGGGGTGGGTATTTGGACTCCGAGCCGTGGGCGGCTAGAGCAGCCTTTGCGGTCATGGCGTTATCGTCGGCTACGGAGACGGAGACGCCATTCTGGTTTCCGACGTGTTGGAGGAGCTGTTGGTCGATTTGGGATAGTTCGGTTGTGTTGGGGAGGCCGTGGTCGAAAGCTGCGATCAAGTCAGCATATGAGAATGTACCCTCTGTCTATCTCTATTATATAGATATATATATATATATACGGTGGTATGCACCCTGGAGATTGCCATTCGAGTTCTGCCCGTGGGACGAGCGTGTCAGACGCTGCCCATCGCCGGCGTCCATCATCTCCCGCTTGCGCTTGTTCGAGCCCGTCGAGGCGTCCGTAGAAGGCAACTGCTGATCGGACATGGCGCGTTGGGGTCGATCCTTCCGGAACTAGAGTCCGAGCGTCAGCCATTGTTGCACAGCAAACAAACAGGAAGGAACGCTGAAGTAAGCAAGATATGTTCCGGGGAAAGAGCCCCTGCCGGGTCACGCGACAAAAGGAAGAAAGAGACAAGATGGAAGGACCATGACTAATAACGAGGCTGAGAGAAGGAACGAAGCAGCTGATTCGCTGGGAAAGACGCGCACACACACACACACACGCACACACACACACGCACACACACACACACACACACACACACACACACACGCACACGCACACACGCACACACACATATACACACAACCATTTAACGACTATAGAATAGACAACTATAGAGGGCAGTGCTGCAGGAGGGGGAGGACACGTTCCTCGCTCAGACAACAACAGGTGGGGGTCGTGTGCGGTCGCGGGGTCCATCCACAATCCGCAATTCTGCCCACTGTGCGACACAGCAGCAGTTGCGAGAGACAGCTTCAGAAAACAGAGAGCGACGAATGAAAGCGCTACGCCGCTGTAGAGACAGCTCTGGGGGAAGAGGAGGAGGAGAAATAGAAACCCAACCCCGGTGCAAAAATTGTGTAGTGCAACCCATCCGCAACGTCGTCGAGGTCGGGAGAGAACGAACGAACAAAAACACCGGAATAAAGACAAAAGCCTGTCCACACCCAACGTAACGCGAGAGAGA